GGGGAGGGGGCGCCGCGGAGGCCTGGCGGGCGGGAGCTGCCGAGGAGATGGGCCGCCCCGGGGTCCCCCGGCGGATCCCAACGGAGGGCCGCGTGCGCTCTGGGAGCGCCCTGCGCGGATGGCCACAGGCCACGCCGAGGGCGAGAAGCGGTGCCCGGCGGCCGGAGGGACAGCTCCCCGCTTATACCCACGGAGTAAACAGGGAGAGCGCGCACTGCGGCAGGCACTGTTGGAAAGACATTTTATTCAACGAGTCCACGAAACAGCTTGCCAGAGGAAGTACTAAAAATCTTTTTCTCGAAGCTTACAATGAACCGCAAAGAGATAAAGTGATTTGAAAAGTCCTCCCCCAAGTGCAACCTGAGAAGGGCGCCCCACTCCACCCTCCAGACTCCGGTCCCAGAGATGCTGGGGCGCCGCTCCGGCCAGCGGCCCCCTTGCCCTGCGAGGCGCTCGGCTGTCCCCAAGTCCCCACACACTCCGCCCTGGAGCAAGCAACACCCATTGTGTGGACCCTTGCCATGAGTTGCCCCGGAACTCCGGGAGGGGTTCCTCCTCCCCAAGCCATTCTCCCTCCTCCCCGCCGGCGGCCACCAAAACCCGGAGACGTGGCACCTGCGCACTGGGGACTGGGGCCATGCTAGCGGCTGAACTGGGCATGCTCAGCCGCCTTAGCCGGTCTAGCGGGTCAAGAGAAGAGGAAAGGCCAGGCTTCAAGGGTAGCTTAAGAAATGAGGGGTCGATCAGGGAACGCAGAGTTGGGAGGGTGGTCTAGGCACTGTGGGCACACACAGTTGGAAATGCAAAAGACTCTTTCCCGTTTCCTTCCGGGAGTTTCCAGCAAGGATAGAACTTTACCAACTTGAGCGGGGTGTGGCGGCTCATTCCTGTAATCCCAGCACTTGGAAGGCTGAAGCAGGAAGAGAAGAGTTTGAGGCCATCTTGGACTCTATGGTGGGTTCAAGGCCAAACTAGACCCTATCTCAAAACAAAAAGAAAAAACTGCTTTGCCAACTGATACGTATGGGACTGAGGGCCCACAGACACTATTCAATTAAACGCAAAGATGCAGTTTTAGTTGAGCCCACCACCCTGTGATGAAAACAAGAAAAATACGGCAGACTCTAAATCAAGTTTTCCTGCAAGGTTAGGAAGGAAACACTGAGCCTAAGGTAAAGCTGATTCGTCATGGTTCAGGGGTCTTCAAGATGTGTTTGGATCATTGCCAGTGTGATAAGACTTATCAAGCTGTAGGGGCACTCAGGAGACCTGAGCATCATGTTAAAGTGCAGACTTTGATGCAGGTAGTCTAGAGCAAAATCTGGGATGTTGCGTTTCTAACAAGCTCCCTGGTGTGCTCATGTTGCTAGCCCTTAGCTGAGATAGCAGCAAAAGGTGAGGGCAGTATTTTAGGCCTACTCGTCTATATATGAGAAAAACTGATGCTCAGAAAGGCTGACCAGTATACCCCAGGTTGCACAGCCAATAAGAAGTGTAGCTAGGCCCAAATCCAGTTCCTCGGTGCTTCTTTTGTATGTTCCTGTAGTCCCCAAGTATCACCCACATACAAGTGGACAGTCATCTATGTGATTAGCCAGTTTTAACAGTAGAACTTAGCTTAGTACGTAGTGCATTCAACATACGGTATTAGTCTTTGATGTGTAACAAAACCACCAAAACTTAGTAGCTTAAAACAGCAATTATTCCTCAAAGTTTCCTTTCAGCTCCCCGGGCTGGAATTGGGTAGCAGCTCCGCCCTGCCATGCAGAGGTAAGCGCTTGGGCCTGGTTCCACACGGAGAGCTGCCGCTTCCAGTCAAGGAGAGCAAACTCAGCTCCAGATAGTATTTCACAGTAGCATGTTTTATTGGCCTAAGAAACTTGCATACCCAAGTCCAGATACAAGGCACAGGAAACAAACTTCATTTCCAGTAGGAACAAAGGAAAAATAGAATAGTTCCTTAAAAGAAATCCACCACATATGCAAAGTAATGTAAAACTAGCCTTTTACCCTAAAGTTTACCCAAGTTTTACAGCTTAAACCTTTCCTTTTGCATATTGGTTAACCAAACACAGCACTCTTTGGTTACAGCGTGTTCAATATAATATGCAGCTTATTAATGAATCTCTACTCAGTGCTATGTAAACATTAATAATTATTTTTCCTAAATCCAAAATGCATCATAGGTTCCTTTTCCCGTGACTTCTTAGACACTTACTCATTTAACAAATAATTTCAAAACATTTTACATGCAGATACACTACTCTTTGCCTGAGATACTAAAGTAAACAAAAGACAAAGTCATTTCCTTGACAAAGCTTAGATATTATCAAAGGAGACAGCTGGTGGCATGTTAAAAACACTAGCACTGACTAAGAATCATGGGAAAAGGCTGCTGGAGGAAGTGGGCTGCTTTGGACTGAAGTCTAAGGATTTAATGTTCCAGTAGAACTTTATGAAAAGAAGGATGTGACTGGGAAGAAGTGTGTCCAGAAACACCTGCAGCCCTAAGATGAAGCTGTGCTTGGTGTGTTCCTGAAACAGGAAGGAGGCGCACCCAGGACATGGAGAGAGCAGACATGAGGGCTCAGAGGTAGTGGGGAACACAGAAAGAATGTCGCCTTTAGGCTGAGTGCCATGTGAGCCCATTGGAGGATGTCAAGTATGGTCATGGCAGGACTGATGGATGGGTCAGAGAGATTCACATTGAGATGCTTGTAGTAATAAGGATACAGAGAGGGAGCCCACTGTAAGGGCACAGAGCCCTTCTAAGTAGGGCAGATTTGACAGCTTGCTCAGTGTTAGAACTCAAAATCCTCAACTTACATCCTCCCTTTTTACAGCTGAGCCTCTTAACTCCTTGAAGAACTTAGTAGGGTAGGATCTGACCCTTAAATACTTTTCTGCCCACTGCCCTCTGCCCCATGCCCTTCAGGACCTAGTTGTCCAGAATGGTGGGAAGGAAGAAGAAAAGGAATGAATGACTCTACTCTTCACCTGTGGCCATTGAGATCCTGTCTTGACGCCCTGTGGAAGGAGATCATTCTCATTCTCTGGGGCAGATGTCCAACTGCCAGTTCTCTGTTGTGGAGAGTCATTTCCCAGTTCCACCACTGGGATCTGCATCCCTTTTTCTAAGGTCAGTTCTGGAATAAACCACCCTCTTGGTTGGAACATCTAAAGAAAGGTAAGCCCTTCCATAATGTCCCCTGGAAACACAGAGAAAATGAAGGCAAGTACTCCTCTCAGCCAGGCTTCAGAGAGTGGGAGCAGGCAGGTAAAATGGAGCTTTTGCTGCCCGAAGGTGCCTACACTTAATCATGAAGCCTCTTCCTGGAATATGGGTCCCTGTACACCCTTGGTTTCACACTCTAGTCATAATCTTTGTCAACATGTTGTTATGCAAATCAACGTTAGCCAAAGGAAAGTCCAAAAGCAACCACAATGCAACCAGTTCCTTACTTGGATTTTTACAAAGTCTTAGATTGTTCCTGTGGAATATAAAAGGAGATCAGCAACAACTAGGAGCTCCAGGTTAACAGCCTCAACAGTAGCAAAGAACCATGCTGCATCCTCTTTCAAGAAAGGGCAGTATACCTCTTGTTCCAGTTTAAAGTGACCCATTAATCATGGTTTCCACCTAGTTCTTTACATGGTGTCCTTCGGAAATGAAGAGGCCAACACTGGCCCATTTGTCCAGTTTTACTTAATTAGAAACATACATCTTGGAACAGTAGGCTGTTAACAGACAGGCCTGACATGAGGTGCCTTGGCCCGAGGGTCTCCTCCCTAATCTTGTGTCTTGTTCCACTGTGTGCAGAGAAACTAAAACACCTTGGAGGCTTGAGAACCAGAGAAAAATGACCATGAGACAAATGGTTCACATGTGTTTATGGGCAGTGTAATAGTGGCTGCAAAAAACAAGCCCTGCGTTTCTGTTAAGTCAGTTGTTGATTGGAGAGTGAAGAGAGATTACAAAGGAAAGCGAAGTAGAAACAATAGTTTAATTCCATTCCAAACTATTTGCTTAAGAACAGAATGTTCTGTGTGTAGCCAGGCTTGGGACCTGATGACACTGAAGAAATTCAGACATGCTGTGGAGGGAGTAATGATGGTGATGGCGGTGATAACAAGGACAGTGATTACCGTTCTGGAGGTAAAACAAATATGCAATGAAGCATGAAAATCTTAAGTGGGAGTGCAAGGAATTTTCACTTATTTAAACATTCATGTGATCATCACACCTGAACCAAGATACAGAACATGATCAGCAGCCCAGAAGGTTCTTCAGGCTCTGTCCCAGTCACTACCCTCCCATGTATATGCACACGATCACCCCTACCACATCACAGTTACCCACTGTCCTGACACCAGAGGATTGCTTCTGCTTGTGTCTGAATTTCATGTGCATGGAATCCTGAAGAACATGGCTTTTTTCATTCAGCATTGTATCTGCGAGATTTGTCCCTATTGCGGCTTCTGCCTGCAATTTCTTCCTTTCTGTTCCCTAGTATCATTGTGTGACTATAATAAAATGAATTTATCCAATTTATTATGAAGGTGAAAGAAAAAGTACGCGGTGTTTTGTTTTTTATTTTTAAACAGGACAGAAGAAGGTCCGTGCAAGGTGCTGCTGTCCTGATGCACCACTTCTCTGAGTTTTGCCTGTTGGCAGCACAGTG